AAATGTCGTAATAAATTTTAATCATTGAAAATGAAAAAATGAATCGTTAAAATTTTGTATAAATTTAATGTATAAAATTTATATATAAATGAATCTTTACTTTAATTTTAAATTAAAAAATAATTGTTATTATCACACGAAGGAGTATATAGTAAAACAAAATCATTACTTAAATAAGATCTTTCAAACAAAATATAGTGGAGCGCAGTAAATCAAGGGTCGAAGTCTATTTTGCGGAAAATATTGACATATAATTAATGTACTCCGTCATCATATTTCAAAAATTCAACAAAAATAAACACCTCAATTGTGTTTCCTCATAAACCACACCACTTAACCAAGCAAAAGCCTACCAAAATGAGCTACATCTCAATTTTTTCCTTCCTCTTTTCTCTTCTCTGCATACTTACCATGACCTATGCCACCACTTTTAACATCCGAACAGCTACCCATGCGCTGTATGGGTTGCTGCAGTCCCTGGTGGTGGTAGGCGTCTCAACCGTGGTGAAACCTGGCAAATCAATGTGGCCACTGGCACAACACAAGCCCGCATTTGGGTTCGAACCAATTGCCAATTTGATGGCTCTGGAAGAGGCAAATCCCAAACAGGGGATTGCCAAGGACTCCTGGAATGCAAAGCCTATAGATCTCCACCCAACACGCTGCCTGAGTACGCCCTTGGCCAGTTTAACAATCTGGACTTCATTAACATATCCAACATCGACGGGTTTAATGTCCCCATGGAGTTCAGCTCCAACTCTCCCAGTGCAATCGTGCGATCAAGTGTACTGCAGACATTATGGGACAGTGCCGGGCCCGTTGAGGGTACCAGGAGGGTGCAATGGACCATGGCCGGTGTTCAAGACAGAGGAATACCGTTGCAATTCTGGTAAATGTCGACCTACAAACTACTCTAGATTTTTTAAGGAAAGGTGTCCGAATGTTTACAGCTATCCTAAAGATGATAAAACCAGTGTGTTCACTTGTCCGCATTCCATGTGCCATGGCCCAGTGGCCACTTGCTGTCCCAAAAGACAGTCCGTTGTTTGCACTCTCCAGTCTCGGGTTTAATACTCTTCATTAACACTTTTAACATACTAACTTTTAACCATTGCTTTTATAAAAAAAAAAAAAGGAAAAAAAAATGTGTTCACTTGTCCAAATGGAACTAACTAAAGGTTATATTTTGCCCTTGAAAGCAGATAGGTAGAAGGCTGTACCAATAGAAATATGTGTGGAAAAATAGAAACTTGAAAATGGCTATAGTTAGTCATTTTGAGCACATCTCCTGATGTAGTGATGTGCCCTCATGCTGTTGTTCCAATAAATTAAATAATTCCACTCTATGGTTACAAATGACTTGGAACCTTGCACTCACTTAACTAAATCTAGCTTCTTAGTTTCATCTTTTCCTTAGCATGGTTAAAGTGTATTTAGATTAACTTATGCGTGTTTTAAAATTAATTTTTTTTTAACAATTTTAAGAGTATAGTTTCATATCCACCTCTTGCAATTAGAAAATTAACTTTTCTTAATTCTTATTTCTTACATAATAAGAACTTGCCTACTGTATTTAATTGATAATATCTTAAGGGTCTAAGCATCACATCAAATTTAAAAATTTAAAATTCAAGGAACACAATATCACAGTGATACCAATACAGCATTTAGCTTCCGTTAAAAAAAAAAAAAAGCATTAAGCCCATTCCTCTTTAAATCTTCTGTGGACTCTTAATATGGGCCTTAAGTCTCTTGTTCATATTTTGTGGATTTCTTGCCCAAGCCCTTGTTTATTCCAGTGGAAATTAAATTATCTAATTCACTGTTGAGTGGTGATCCAAGGATGAAAAATTAGAATCAATGATATAGTATAAGTCATTTCATGAAATGAATTGATATATTATATAATATTATAAATTTTAATAAAATAAAAAGAGTTAATTATTAAATAATATAGAATTTACTTTTTAATATTTTAAATGACATTGCTTATGTTATGTCATTAATCCCAAAATTTTTGTCACATTGATCATTATCCTTCACCTTAACATTAGAGAGAAATCATTAAAATTTGAAGAGTTTGATGATTTTTTAGTTTAGACTAGTAAATGAATTAAAAAATAAGTCTGCACCTGTATTAAAATGGTGCAAGATAATGCATTATGTATGTATATTCTGTATCAATGATAGCATAGGTGGATCCCCTAGTTGTTGTTATTGTTGTTATTTTTGTTGTTGTTATTAGCAATACGGGTGTTCGTGGTGCGATTTTGTTCATATTTTATTATTTTTTTAAATTAATCTAATTTAATCGGTTAATAAAATTTTTAAACCAATCCAATTCATTAGTATGTGATAACCAAACCAATCCAATTTAAATGTGTGGTTCGGTCGGATTGATCGATTTTTAATATTATTAAATATATAAGATAATGTAAAAATATTTTAACATCAAATAGAAAGTATAACTATAAAATACATTAACCTTTAAATTAATAAAAATATAATAAAAGATAAAAATTATAAACGAATTCTTATACTCCTTTACATTTGTAAAAATTGAAAAGTTTTGAAAATTATTTTTTGTTACATCACTAGAAGCACCAAAAACAATAAAAAAATAACTTCAAATTTCTAGTACAGCATAAATAATTCTTGACGGTTAAAATTAATTTTTTTTCTTAATACACTAATAATTTAATCACAGTTTCTAAATCCTATTAAAAATAAATAATATTTAACATGAATATTACTAAAATTGATTAGAAGCATTCAAAATCAAAATTTAAAACTTCTAAACCAAATATCTAAGAATAGTTGAATATTAAGATTAATTTTATGATATAGTTTTAAGACTTTTAAAATGATACTTATTTAAAACTTAGTTAGGAAAATTATAAAATTATTTTAAGAATAAATTAGAAATTTAGGGTTCTAAAAGTAAAGGCACAAACCAATTCTGAGAGAATAGAGTTGTAGGTGAATTAAAAATTTATAAATTAAGATTATAGTGCATGATTAAAATGGAGAAATAACTTAGGGAATATGGAGATGTTCTATTTTTATTTTTTTAATTAAGTTAATGGAGCCATAATCTTGTAAAATATGAAAAAGAAAATTTAAAATACTACAAAAAATATGTTATATTATTTAATTAAATTATCTTCTAATCAGATTTTATTTTGTAATCGGGCAGTTCGAAGGTAAAATCACAAACCAAACCAATTATATCGGTTTTAAAATTTTAGAATTCAAACCAATCCAATTTTATATCAGTTTGGATCGGTTTTTAATTGGATCAGATCAGTTTAGGTCGGATTAATTGGATTGGATCGGATATGAACACCCCTAATTAGCAAGTTATATTCACTAGTAAAAAAAAGTTTCATTTGTAAATCAAAATTAGGATAAATTTCAAATTTTGAGATCATATATTAGCTAAAAAATTTAATTTCCTTTAATATATTAGATTAACATAATTTGCGTTTTTAAAATCATATGAAGATGAATTAATTGCACTTACTTGAAAGCCTACAGGCATGTAAGAAAGGTAAGTTATTATAATTAATATCATGTGCAAATGCAAGTAATTTGGAATTGCTCCCGAGTCTTCCCCGACCACGAATTATGGGTTGATATAAAGCATCATTTTGTGGTCTGGCAATGTCAAAAGCAATTCAAAAACAATCTACTAAAATTTATTGCTTTTCCTTGGTGTTTGTCGGAGGTTTAAACTTTAAAGGAAACTAAACATATGGAACTGTTGACTTGGTGTTAATTTTTTTAAAAAGTGGGTACAATAATGATATAACTATAATTATAATATCATAAAATACTATAAATTTATAATTATAATGGGTTATTAAATAAATAAATATAATATCATGAATAAATTTATAAATAAAAAACTTAGTCATATAATAATATATCATAATTATAAATTTATAATACAATATAACATCATAACTATTTTACTTTTTAGCAATACCCCATTTTAAGGGAAAAGGGGTTGGTGGAAAAAAATACCGTCTATAGAAGATTACTCACTACGCATAGATGGAAAACTAAAGCATGTTTGGGTTAGTTTGTAAGAGTTTTTACTTTTTTTGTATTGTTTATGAGTGATAAGTTTCAATTTTTATTTACTACTAAAAAATCCAAAATCACCGACCCCAAGTCACCGACGTAAAACTTATTATCAGTAAATGAGCACTTTATCAACAAGAAACATATCTGTAAATGTAATAATAGTAAAAATGACAATAATTTATATTATTTAAGGTTTAGATAAAATATTTATCGCTAATTTAATGATGTACACATGTGCTCCTTGTCGATAAAATTTTGCAAAACTCAATCCGGTGGCACGAGGACAAATAACTCATATATTGATGTGATCCTTGTAGGTAACTACACAATGTCCAACCCACCCTGTGAATCAGCTGCTCGCGCCAGGGTTTGTAGCTTTTTTTTTTTTTTTCTTTTTATGTTTATCGATGTGATCCTTGTCAGTAGGTTCACAATCTCCAACCCCGCCCAGTGAATCAGTTGCTCGTGTCAGGGTTTGTAGTTTTTTCATACGTACCAACATTATTCTTGTCGGCAATTTGCATTACACCAACGTCAAGTTTGTCGGTGATGATCCTGGTCAACCAGATTCCTGAAGCAATGTAGAGTTGATTAGCTTTACGGGTTTCCAACGTGAACCCGTTGGTAAGCTTCCCCCTTACCTTACTTGCCAAGACCCCCCCTTCCCCTTTCATTTTTGTCTTCCTCTTTCGGCAGCAAGTAGTTCTTACTTTCCTTTCCTCCATTCTTTCATCCTCCTTCCTTTGTTTCCTTCCAATCACTTTAACATTTTTCTTCTTATAGTGAGTGAATCGAGTAATGGTAAGTGAAATCTATGTAATATCATTAACTTTTATATATTTTTACATTAAGTTTAAATATTTGATTTTTTTTTTTGAAATTTAAATTATGGAACATTTTTATTAATTTATTGAATATTAATTGATATTGTTAGATCTGTTGTTTTAGCTAAATTTTTAGTTACCAATAATTTTTTTGATAATTTTCTAATGGCTTTCAATACTTAATGATAAAATTTCAATATTAAGTATTTGATATTAGTATTGTTGGATTTGTTGTTTTGAATAAATTTTAGGTTATATATGAATTTTGGTCCGTTAAAACTAGTTGGTAAATTTCGATGGGAATGCAAATTTTTTGCTTTTTTGGATTCCTGCTTTTAGGTTAGTTACCTATGTGGGTTTTGTCGGTAAAATTATTTCCGACATATCACACATAAGTAAAATAGTCTATATATATATCCAGAATACTCTAACTCGATCATTTCTTCTTTCCTTCTTCTTCTTCTTCTTTTTTCTTCTCCTCCCTTATGTATCCCATCTCTTACTCTTCCATTCAAATACTGCTAGATTAATTGTATGATGTTTATAACTGCATTATATTCATATAATTTTAGGGTTATATCTTCTTAATCTCCTTTCTTTTTCTCTTCCATTGTTTTTTATATTTAATTAAACACTAATTTGTGTTATTAATAAATTTATTTGTAATTCTAATTTTTTTTCATTTTATTTTCTAGGAAACATTGTTGGGAGATAATCATTGGTTAAGTAAATTTTATTTATATAAATTAACATTCAATTTCATTTATATAAATTAACATTCAATTTCATTTATATTTTGATTATTATTATTTGATTGAAACTACATATATATAAATATTAACCAAATTTATGTTTCTTCCTTTTTTTT